GTGTTAGAGACTGCCTGTGACTGTATGAAGGCTATAAAGTGATCCACAGTTGTGGCTGCCTCTGCTGGGACTGGGGTGCATGGGAAGGACCAAGCTGTGCACAAAGGCTGGCTTTTACCAGCACCGGGCCCAGGGGCAGGTCAGAAAAAGTGCCAAGGCACCCCAAGATCTACCTCTGCCTGCTTTGCATGCTAAATGCCTGATAGGCTCAGTCACTGAAAGAGCCTCTGGCAGTACTCAAGTTGCATGAAATAGGTTCTGAATGAGTCACTAGGCAGGAGCAAGTGGTGTTCACCAAATTGATGTAGGTTCAAACTCAGTGCCAGTGCTGGGTCTGAGGCCACTCAGCAAATTTTCCAGGGTATACCAAGTCTAGCTGCCACCTACAGGCATATCAGGGTCTGAGGAAGTTGTCAGGTGAGACCAGCAGTATTTATCAGGCCCAAACAGTCCAAGATTTGGCCATGTGAAGGGAGGGCTCTGCACCAGTTGGGTATGTGGGGAAAAATGGCCCCCATTCTAGAGCCACACAACTCAGTCTGTCCATGATTCTGTCAGGAGCCTGCACTCAACAAGGCAGTACCTCTGGGAGTCAGAATGGTGTGGCTAGTGGATCTCCCATGAGGGGAAGGTGCTGGGCAGTCTTGAGAAAAGGTGGGAGGTATGGCCGCCACCCCAGAGGCCACAACTCAGTCTGTCCTGGATTCTGCCCGGAACTTGCAGGGTAGGATGACCAGGAATCAAGAGGGTGGAGCCATCTGGAGCCCAGAAGATGGGGCTAGAGAATCTCCCATGAGGGAGAAGTACCAGTCAGATTCACAGGAAAATGGGGGGAATGGCCTCTGCCCTAAAGCCCCACCACTTAGATACTGATACCCCCTGAGTCTGCCCAGACATCTACATCCCAATTCAGGCAGCTGATTCCTCAGCAAGTTGTGAGCACCACAGGGTGGGGTGACAGGGATTTCAGAGGTTGGGGCAATTGCTGGAGTGCTCCATAGAAAGACGGTGTCTGAAGTGTGGGAGAGGGACTCAGTATATGGATCCTGACAGCTGTCATCGCAGCTATCTCCCAAGAGCCACAAACCAGTCTCTCCTCACATGACTTCAGTCTGCTCCACCTCCCCTCCACTGGAGCCCAGGGTGAGTGGCCACAAATGAGATTTTGTGTGTTGGCCCTTTTGGAGGGCGCCTATATCTCTAGACAGAATTCTCTTTGATTTTCACAGCCAGATGTTATGCGGGTGCCTCTTCCCAGCTCTGGTGCTCTGGGCTGATACCCCAGTGCCCCTGAGGGGGTGCCTTTGCAGCTGAGATATCCCTCTGGAACCTCAGCCTCTGCCCGTGGGAGTGGGACCAGCTCATTTCACATCTCCACCCTTCCTACCAGTCTCGATGTGGCTTTTTTTCTAAGTCCTTTGTTATAAGACGTTTATTCAGCTAGTCTTCAGTTGGTTATTAAGGCTGATGGTTCTGTATTTTAGTTGTAATTCTAGTTTGGTCCTGGGAGGAGGTGAACGTAACATCCACCTAGGCTGCTTCCATCTTGGATCTTGCAGTTCTTTTCAAATTCTGTTATAGCTCTTAACAGTTTAGTAGTAAGGAAAGGAGGCAGGGATGCTCTGGGCAATTTGTAACAGAGGACCTTAGGGAAAGCAGACTTGAGGTTTGGTGAGAAAGTCTACATAGTACAGGAGTTTTAAGCTTCCAACCAGAATTAAATTTTCTCTTTGAACATGAATCATCTATTTTATGTTCAGAGATGACAGCTGATTTGTAGGATTCGATACTGACAAGCATCTGAACGAGTAAACTGATCGAGAAGGAAGGTGTAATTATAAATTAGCAGGTCAACTTCGGACCAGTGGATGGTGCTGGTGAAACATAAACTGAGGCACACTAAAATTTTTTTCAAGAGTTTACTTGAACACACATTGATTGAAATCAGGCAGCACAAAACCAAAGGTGGTTAGAAGTGCCCCACCAGTATGAGCTGGGGCAAGGTTTCTACAGAGAAGAAGTGGAAACAAAGCAAAGAAATTATTTTATTAGTTATAGCTTAAGTGGTTAGCTTATTTAGGAAAGCCTAATTGGCCATTTGTGATTGGTTGTTCTAAAGTTTCACCTTCTCAGATTCCGGGAAGGGCCCTGACTCTGGCTTAGGTTTTAATCCGCTTACATGGGCAGCCAAGGCAGAGCCACCTCAGTAGCACGGCCTCCTTGTTTAAATACTTTAACAGTGTGTAAATCACAGCTAGAGGAAGTGACTTTGGCCAGGGTGTGGGGGAGGGGAAGCAGGTCCCAGCAAGGAGATTTACCCGTTAGGGTTTCCGTGGCCAGACTAAATGGAACAACCTAAGAAACTTCAGGTACAAGAGTTGTCTTCTGGTCATGTGAGTTCCCAGGCAGCTTGCCTATAAGGAGAGAGTTGCTGGCCCAGCAGACAGAACATTCCAGCACTCGGCAGTTCTGGTTTCCATGATTAATTAATCAATCAGGCAGCCACAGAAACGTAGATTCTGTGGCCAGACTGCTTACCTTCAAAGTCTTACTTGATAAGTGACCTTGAGCATATTTATAACATTTGTGCCTCAGTTTCCTCATGTGAAAATTGGCTTTAAAGATGTTACTTAGAAGAGTTAAATGAGGTAATGCACGCAATGATGCAACTAGCACCATGCCTGGCACGTCGAGCACTCAGCAACTGTCAGCTGCTACTTTTATTAATGGTTTTATACAGCTGTCCCTTAAACTTGTGTAACATGGATCGGCTGCAGGAGGTGGCCTGCTCCTAGCCAGAAAGTTGTGTTTTTGGGCCCAGAGCCTGGGGACCAGCCTCTAAATAAAGGGCACAGGTTTACCGAGGTAACTGCCACTGTGCAGGACTGGATGGGTTGTCAGAGGCCCCTGTCTCCTTCCCCATCATGGTTCCACACTGATGTGCAACTGTTCTTTATATAATAATGCCAACTATTGTAGTATCTTTATAACTGTTGAGTCTTCTCAGCTAGATCTTCTAGAAGGCAAAAGTCTTGTCCTGTTCTTTCCCCTATATCCTCTCAGTAAGTACTTCCTGGGTGAGAGAATGAGGTTTATAGAGGATTCAGAATAAACAGAGGCATGTCCAAAGAAATGAAATCGATGGGAACAGTGAAACTGGAGAGGGGATGGTGAGCAGGTAAGGCATTTCTAAATTGACCATCTGGAAGCACTTACTGGAGTCAGGGACCGAGGCCCAATAGGTCTCAGAGGACAGTGGCTCTTAGAGGAGGAAGGTGTGGGCTGACGCTGCAGCCTGTTGTGTCTGTGGCCTGGCCAGCAGCCCCCAGTTCTCAGTGGCTGCCCAGGGCGCCGCTAGATGAATCCAGTAGTCATCCTAACGTGGTAGCCATGGAGGAGGCAGGCCGAGAAGCCTGGAGTAGGGAGGGGGAGGCCATGACTAAGGCTGTGGGGACAGAGCTTGGCTTTGGTTTGGAAGGTGGCAGCAAGCAGGCTGCATGCAGGGCTCAGCCTCCCGGGCTCCCCGCCCCCACACCGCTGCTCTCACTGCCATTCCAGTCCTCTTCTATGCCCATCACAGCTGCACGGTCTCCAGGGGCACTTCCCTGCTCCCTGCAGGCTTGTCCTCCCCTGGGAGATTCCTGCATGGGTGTCCCGTAAACCACTGCAGACTCCAAACACCCCCATCACCCACATACACTTACTTAGGATCTGAAACACTGGTGCAATTAGGGATAAAATTGTAAACTTTTAGAGTTAAAGGGACCCTAGAGATATCTAACTCTCCTGAACTTTACAGATGAGAAAACTGAAGCTCAGAGAGGTTGAGTTACTTACCCAAGGTCACACAGTCAGCTTAGGGGCAAAGACAGAACTGGAAGCTCCCAACAAATGTAGACTTTGTCAGGGTTTAGATTGACTCATCAGCTTAACTTTTAGTTGTTTTATTTGAGGGAAAAATTCATTATATATCTCTACTGCAGTTATTTGTAGGATTCTACCCACTGCTAAAGTGGTAGGTCTGGGCTGGACATCAGAAGATTTCTGTGAAATTTTGGAAATGGGCCCATTTATGAAACCTAGAGGGACTGTGTGTGGCTTGTATGTACTGAAGGCTGTACCTACATTGTTTCATTCATTTATGGAGTGTTCTTGTCACTCTGGAGAAGACTGAGACAATGCACTGCAAGGGTCTCATTGGACTGTTACCGCCACAGCCTCTGAAGCACTGGCTGGGAACAGCCTCGCCGGCAGGAGGGCTCCTGTCCAGGCTGTTTACTTGCCTGGCTCGTGACACAGACCATGAGGCAGGGAGCCGGTAACCTCATCTGCCTCTCAGCAAACACTCCTCCGCGCCTGCCCTCTCCCCCTCCGCCCCTCCGCCCCTCCGCCGGGGCTCCTGGCCTTCAGCTCCGGGCTGGTTCAGTGCACAGCTGCCGTTGTCCACAGGCTTCAGATTAGCCTGGAAGGAAGACAGAGGGAGCGAGCCTTCTGGCCAGGGCAGTGGCCGTTCGAGTTAAACGCTGTGTGCCTGTACCAACCACGCGGCGTATGTGCTGTGTTCTGTATAAACTGTTTATAGCATGCATTGTACAGAGAAGGATAGAGTGTCTCTGTGATGGTCATGAGAGTGGATTACAACGAGACAGTTAATGATAATAATAAAAATCCAGTCACACTGGCTCAGCCATGGTCAGCCCTTTGCTTTATTTGTCTAGAAATGGTTTAGCAGAGTGATCGTGGGCTGCTGGCCCGGAGCCTCCCCTCCTCTCCCTCCTGGCCCCGGTCCTGCAGGTGGTGACCTGCAGCCTGGAGCAGAGGCTCTTCCCTTGGAGGCAGATGTCAAAACTCGTCTCCTCGGGTTTGCACAAAGCCTCGCCCCAGGCTGAGCATGACCTTGCCGTTGGCCGTGCACACAGCACAGCCTGTCCTCGGGCTTGTCCACCTCCACAGGGCCACTCAGACTGGCCTAACCCTGCGCCTGTGCTGTGCCCCCACAGGTGTCCCAGGCAGCTGCGGACCTCCTGGCATACTGTGAGGCCCACGCCCGGGAGGACCCTCTGATCGTCCCCGTGCCTGCGTCAGAAAACCCGTTCCGAGAGAAGAAGTTCTTCTGTACCATCCTCTGACTCTGGGTGAAGAGCCTCCTTCCTGGACCACCCCTGGGGACCCGCATGCGCAGCTTTAGGGAGCCCCCTCCATCCCTGCCCATCCTGCCCAGCCACGACCGTGGGGGCCGGTTTTGTCTGTCCCTTGGTGTCTTCATTGCATCAATTTCACTTTTTCTTTTCATTTTCATGTTATTTGCATTATTGGCCAAGACAGCAGACATTTTTGTAGCCAAATAACAAATGTGCCAAGTAAAAATAAGTATGGATTTAAGGGCTTAAATATTTAAACATCAGTTCCCAAGTTTAAATACATCAAGTTAACACCTTTCAGTGGATAATTTATTGAAAAACTATACCCAAGAATCCCCCATTCTCATCATTCAGCATCAGATAAGAGCATTGGACCAACTAAAATACGTGAGTAAAACTTTCATCTCCTTCCCTGGAGAAAGTTCTGGAAGGTCCCTAGTTCTGCTTTTCCACCATCCTATTAAAAAGGAAACAACCCACAGCAGTGACAGTTTTCTTAACACATGTGGCCAGGGGCCCAGGCCCTGTTTCCCACTGAGTGTCACTGACCACTCCGGAGGTGGTCCCTCTACAACTACAGATGCGGGGGATGCTGTACATGTGACTCCAGCTGCCAAGGGTGCCATCTCCCCTCTCCAACGACACCTCTTCCCACTCCCTCCTGTCTGGCTCCTTCTTGGGGCTTCGGACACGGCGGCGTGAGTAAAGGCCACTCTAGGCTCAACACGGCCTGGGGGTTTCACCATGGTGGCCCTGCCCCGGAGGGATGAGTCACAGGGACAGCAGATCTGGGCATTGACAAGTATTCACTTATGTAATCTTCCAACAATAAATAAATCCCATGAGCATATCTGTTTTAAAGAGAGGGAAACTGAGGCACGGGAAGATGATGTCGTTTCCCCAGGGTTATAGACAGTAAACAGGAAACCTGGGACTTGAGGGCAGGCAGCCTGGCCCCAGAGCCCTGCCTGAACCCCTGGGCTACACTGCCCTCCAGGTCGACCTGGAGCAACCTGAGAGATTCTGTGAAGCACTGTGGCCGCGGCCGGCTCAGCAGCACCCGTCTCTCCCCCTCTGCCATGAGGTGCATGCCCGGCCCGTGTTCCTGTCGTTGATGGGCGATGATACGTGGAGGCCCCAGTGGAAGGGTAGACAGCCTCTTGGTTTTCCTGACATGAACTTGCAGGCCCTTCCCAGGCAAACTCAAACCACCCTGCAGAACGAAGACACTAACCCAGAGCAGAGAGTGCGTTGTCTAAGTTGATTCTAGTCTCTGGAAACTGCCTCTGTCCCTGGTCCTGATGGGACATGCTGTGTGAGCAAGACGTTTCTTAAATCTTCTAACCTGCAGAATGGGGATAGTGGTGATGACACCTCCTGCATTCTGCCGAGGACACAGAGAGGAAAGCTGTGGTTACCATTTAAAACAAATAAGTGTGCTAAATGCCGAGATGTCATATAATATAAGGAGGGATGCGTGACTGCAAAGGCGCATGGTTCAGTTGGAGGGCCGGCGTAAAATTGCCTACACAGAGGCAAATATAATTTCCAGATCGGTTAATGACTTGCCACCCTTGTAAATGGTTTTAGTGGACTTTTATCCTTTGCTGCTTTTGTTGAAACCCATTCTTAGCTTCATTAAAGCGCACGGATAATACCAGTGTTGTTAGGAAGCTGTGTGCTCAGACTATAGGAGAATTGTTTGCTCTGTGTGATAAGACGTCGGGCCCTCCTCTCTTCAGTTTATGACCAGGATCTCTTTATTCTGTGGTCCATGTCAACATCATTAACCTGATAAAACAAAGCACAACCCATAAAAGCACATCCGAGTAGCTGAGAAAGTAGGACAGCACAGAACCGGCCAAATCAGGTAAAACAAAACAAACATGCTTCCGTCCCTCCCCACACTTTCCCTGTTTGTCTGTCCATACTCTGCCCCCCTCCCCTCTCCCTCACGTTCCTTCATGAGACCTTTCGTCCTTGCACACACCTTCTCCTTCCAAACCTATGGCCTTTTGTGTGGCTTCCCCCTTCTGAAGTGTCCGTGAACTCTGCCGGCTTCTTGAAGGCAGTCAGGCCATGGGCTGTGAGATTCACAAACGTGTGACTGGTCCCATCCCCCGCTAGCCGTCATCAGGAGGTGAGTGGCATGGGGTGCGCCTGTGGTGGGCACTTGTCATTGTGTTTCCAGCTTGGCTGTCCAGCATCTGACACCCCTTCCCACAGGGAAGAATCACCCCTTACATATCAACTTAGGGGGGTGCAGTGTCCCCTGCCTCTGTGATGCTCAACTGGGAGGTCTCCCCTGTCTCTTGGATGAACCCCCTTTCTAGCACTGACTGGCCAGGGAGTGGCCAGTGACCCGGGGTGAACAGCCTGGACTCCCTGCTTGGGATGTGACCCTGGAGCCGATAACACAGAAGTGACAGGATGCTGAGGTTTGTTTCCTGGGAGCTGCAGTGGTCCAGGGGCAGCTGTGGCCCAGCTGAGGGCGTGTCCGGGACCGCTGTGTCCACTGGTACCAATGTCCCGGAATGACAGTCCTGAGCCGAGCATTCCTGCTCCGTTTCTCAGCCCCACTGAGCTGTCTCGGCTCCCACCCATCTTCCTAGGTTTCCTTTTCAGCTATTTGTCAGTTCTTTGAGCCTCCAGGTTCCATCCAATAAATTCCTGTTCCTCCATGAAATAGCCTGGGTTGAGTGTGCATATCGTATAAGCTAACAGCCCTGCTCCCAGGTATATTCCCAACGGAAATGTGTGCTGTGTTCACCAGAGAAATGTACTGTGTTCAGAGAAGCACTACCCATAGCAACCCCAGACTGGAAAGCACCCCCGTGCGCATGTTGAATGGATATTCGATAGCGGCACGTTCGCACGGTGGACTTCACGCAATGAGAATGAACTAGAGGCCCGCAGCCGCACACGCCCTCCGGCGCCGGGGGCGTGGGTCGCGGGAGATGAGGCAAGCAGGTGCTGCGTGGTCCCATTTCTGTAGGTGTGAGACCCGCCCCAGCCAGTCTGTGCCGCTGCAGGCCCTCGAGGGGCCGGTGGCCAGGAGGGGTGTGGGGAGGTGGTTTTGGGGAGGTGGTTTCTTTATCTGTTTCTTGATCTGGACACACTGGGTGTGTCCAGTTTGTGAAAATTCTTAGCTGTACACATCTGATTTGTGCACTTTTCTGTATGTATGTTACACTTCAATAAAGAGTTGGTTTTTGTGGCTAGCAGTCAAGATTCCTACTGTTATTTTTTTGTCTTTTTGCACTTTGCTCAGCCTTTACTCTTCAGGTGTAACTCACCCTGGGCATTTAAGAGTGTATCTGAGCCCCGACTGGTTTGGCTCAGTGGTTAGAGTGTCGGCCGGTGGACTAAAGGGTTCCGGGTTTGATTCCAGCCAAGGGCGCTTACACTCGGTTGCAGGCTCGATCCCCAGCCTTGGTTGGGGCACATGCAGGAAGCAGCCAATCAATGTGTGTCTCTCACATCCACTACGTTTCTCTCTTTCTCCCCTTCCCACTCTCTCTGAAAAAAAATTAACAATTGGTCATCACTGGCCAATCAAGTCACTTGCTCACATTAACAGACTCAATCAGTAAATAAAAGAGCTGTGATTTGAACCAGGGAGCCTGACTTCAGAGCCTGTGTTCTCAACCACTAAGTAATCCTGCTTTTAGGAAGAATAATCCACGAGGGGGAAAGAGGAAAGGGGCCCCACCACTCTCAGGGCTGCACCTGAGCAGCAGCCACGGTCAGGAGTGGGTAAGCGCCCAACTGCTCTAACTTGAGACTTCAGTAAGGAAAGGGGAGGAAACCTCGATTGTATAATATAACGAACCCTCAGAGGAAGAAAAATTGACAGAAATTCTCAAGTGACACCTCTTAAGTTTGAAGAGAAGCTATAGCATTTGTGTTTTGGTTTTTTAAAATATGTTTTTATTGATTTCAGAGAGAGGAAGGGGGAGAGAGAGAGATAGAAACATCGATGAGAAAGAGTCATTGGTCGGCTGCCTCCAGCATGCCCCCTACGGAGGATGGAGCCCAAAACCCGGGCATGTTTCCTGATCAGGAATCAAATCGTGACCTCCAGGTTCATGGGTTGATACTCAAACACTGAGCCATGGTGGCTGAGCTGTTTCTGTTTTTAATAAAAATGTCCTGTTCCAGAGAGGGCCTTGGGTGGTGGGGTAATTAAACTGCTTCTATTTGTGATGCCCTCCCACCTGCCTCCCATTTGGACGTTGGGGCCTGAGAGTCCAGCCTTTGCTGGAGAAGAGTCCAGCCAAGCTGAGGCAGCTGCTGAGCAAAGCACTGGGCCACAGGGGCATTTGCAGGCCGATGGAGATGCCCACGGGCATGAGGGCAGAGGAGCAGGGGGAGCTGCAGGTGGACACTAGTACCCAGCACGGGAGACTTTGAGCCCAGACTCCGTGTGTGTGTTTGTGTTAAAACGCAGCACATAAAATTGCGCTCTTAACAATTTCTAAGTGACGGTACAGTATGGTTAATTATATGCACGTGGTTATACAACAGACCCCAAACTTTTTTCATCTGCGTGATTCAAATTCTGTACCCCGTTCCCCTCCCCCAGCCCCTGACAATCACCATTTTGCTCTCAGTTTCTATGACTGATCGATCTGGATGCCGCATATAAGTGGAGTTACACAGCACTTGTCCTTCTGTGGCTTATTTCACTGAGCCTGTGTCCTCAGTTTCCTCCATGTTGCAGCATGTGGCACTATCTCCTTTTTGAGGCAGATTCCCGTCGTGTGTATCCCCCATTCTGCTTATCCATTCGTCCCTCGGTGGGTGGAGAAGTAAAGTGCAGCAGGGCTGAAACCCGGCACACTGGGTCTCGGCTGCCTGTCACTACTTCAGCCAATTAAGCAGAGACAAGGTTGAATCATATATGAGCGTTTTATTCAATTATTGACAGCAAAATGGGAGAGCAGTAAGAGTCATCCACATAAAATCTGCTCTGCCCTTCCCTTATTAGNCTGCTATGCCCTTCCCTTATTACATGGCTGGTCATATAGGGCTAGATGCAAGGGAGAAGGGGTAGGGGGTAGGGGGAGGATGGCTGCAGGGTCTGTGGGCCGTATGCCTCCTTCCAGGATCTTGAAGTCTGTTAACAAGGTAGTTAATTTTCAGTGGTGTTAAAACCCAGTCCAGCCAGTTTCTGGGACCTGAGAACGAATGGTCAGCATTCCTGAGGCAAACTCCTGGAGGAGGGTCAGGCTCCAGGCACAGCAACCAAATCAAAGAGCATCCTGTCCTTTGTTCTCAAAATGCATTTTCTTTTCTGAGCAATGGACCCATCCAGGCCCCGAGGTGTCTCTTATCTTTTTACAGCTCTGTTTTTCTTCTTGCAGCACATCCTCCAAGTTTCCTGGAGTCTGTAAGAAAACATCTATAGTTAGTAAGGTGAATCATCATTAAACAACTGTGGTCCTGTTCCTGTGAGGTGCCCTCCCCCCTTTCACAATCACAGTCAGCAGAGCATGAGCAACATCTCTGCCCCCAATGTGGTGACCACAGTTAACAGTCCTGTGCTGCAGATTCGAAACTTGCTAGGCAAGTAGATCTTTAAAATTTTCATTAGAAGAAAAAATATCTGTAACTATCTGATGATGGATGTTACTAGACTTAACTGTGGTGATCATTTCACAATATTTACAAATATCAAATCATTATGTTGTACACCCGAAACTAATGTAATGTCGTATGTCAATTATACTTCAATTTTTACAAAGCTATCTGTTCTTACAGTAGTAATATTGCAAAAATATTTTCAAAATCCTGGTGTAGGTCAACGTACAGAGTCCCATAAGTGGTTTAGCAGACTGAGTTAAATTTGCAGACTGAAATTATACAGTGGAAATGTCCAGTTCCTGAAGTTACCGCACAATCACCAACAGATGTATTAAGTGTGCTTGCGATGACAGAGATAGAAATTCAGAAGTGTTGCTTATTTGACGTGGGCCATCTGTCTTCTGTCTCTCTCAAAGAATTTTCATATTCTGTTAACCTCCTCTCAGAGACAGAAAAGAGCCTGTGGTTAAGCGCTGGAGAAAACCCTGAAGTGGCTATGTAGCTGCTCTGAATTCTTTCAAAGCCTCAGCATGGTTCCTGTTGTAACCCACCCCACCATTCTTCTAACACCCGTTAACTAATCCGTGACTGCAGATAAAGAGCCTGTTGCTGAAGAACTCTAGGAACTACCTTCAACAGAAGCAGACTCCTACCTTCCACGTTCCTTCCCACATTCCAGCTCTGGGAGATCTGCTGACAGACTGTGTGGACTTGCACAATCCCCTCAACAGAGAACTTTCAACCTTTGTTCTGTTTTTCTAGTTTCCTTCCGTCTCCCTCCTTACAAAAACCCCTGCCCAGTCCGGTAAGACAGTCTTTGCGAGGTGAGCCCGCCGTCTTCTCAGGCTGCTGGCTCTCGAATAAACCTACATTCCTTCCACCAGCCCCTCTCTTTTTTTTAAAAAAAAAAAAATATATATATATATATGTTTTTATTGATTTCAGAGAGAGGAAGGGAGAGGGAGAGAGAGAAAGAAACATCAGTGATGAGAGAGGGACCTCAATCAGCTGCCTCCTGCATGCCCCTTGCTGGGGATCGAGCCTGAAACCCAGGATGGGCCCTGCCCAGGAATCGAACTTCGATCTCCTGGTTCATGGGTCGACGCTCAACCACTGAGCCATGCCCACCAGGCATACCTGCCCCCATCTCTTGAGTGTTGACTTTCGAGTGGCAGGCAGCCAAACCTGGGTTCGGTATCACTAGGACACTTTCTTCCCTGGACTAGTTAACACAGTAAAAACTCAGCACCATGAGCACATGAGCACCATCTGGACCCGACAACCCTAGTTCTAGGTATAAACCAGAAAGAAGCTCCACTCACCTGCATGTGGCAGCAGGCATAAGGGTATGTGTAGGAAGACTCTAGTAGGGGAAACCGAGGCACCTTAAAGAGGCAGCACAGCCCAGGGGTTAGAATGGAGTCCCTGGTATGACAGATAGTCTGGGTTTCAGTCCTGGTTTTACTACTTGCTAGCTGTGTGGCCTTGAATGGGTTACTTAGTCTCTCTCTGTGTCTCAGTGTCCTTGTCTATAAAATAGGGTGATAGTACCCCCTGTTACGAGGATACGTGAATGAGAATTTTTAAAGCACTTGGAAATGCACCTAGCAGATAATATTACATACATGTGCATCAGTGGGAAAATGCAAAAATAAATCCAATCATGTATCTCATACTAAGCAGCTAAAATGAATGAATTAGATCTACATATGTCAAGGAAGACAGGTATTAGAAATACATTGAACAAGAAGGGTAAGTTATAGAACAATATATAAAATAGGTATTTAGGTAAATTTTAAAAAGCAAAACAATACTACATTCTTTGATAGCCACGCACAGTGGAAATATAAAAACATGGGCCAGAGTATATTCCCCAAAATCACCATGTGGGGTCACTGAGAAGGGAGAAGAATTGGGGAGGGGACAGAGAATACTCCGACTGCACTTGCAGCGAAGCTGGCGTCCCCTGGGCCAGGGGCTTCCACCCTGTGCGGGGGAGCCCGGGGCTTCTTTGGAGGTGCCCCTGACTCTGGGTGCTGTACACACCTGCGTGCCACTCAAGGTGCCCTCCCCCCTGCGGCCTTAGCTGGCAGGCACTGCCTCTGAGCCGGCACTTAATCATTTGTTGAATTAAATTTCAAAACAGGAAATTTTAGCAACATGTTGAAACAATTTGAATGTCAAGACATTTATAAGCTGGTGGCACAGGGCAGTCGGTATGAGAGCCCATCGGACAGTATGAGAAAAGCTAGGAGTCAGCCGCGCTGATCGCCGAGTGGTTTTCGCTGTCACCTCCGTCTCCTGGTAGGTGTGCCACAAACGACACCAGCGCCACGCCATAGCCTTCACTTAATCAGCCCTGGGGCACGACTCACCCCAAATTATACTACAGAGTAACGATCATCCAAGCAGCATAGTATTGCCCGGGCTGGGTGGCTCAGCTGGTTGGAGAGTCGTCCCATACACCGAAGGGTCCTGGGTTCGATACCTTCTTGGGGCTCATGCAGGAGGCAACGGGTTGATGTTTCTCTCTCATGTCGATGTTTCTTTATCTCTCCCTCTCTCTCTCCCTCCCTTCCTTTCTCTAATCTCAGGTAAGGATTTAAAAAACAACAACAAAAAACAGCATGGTATTGAC